GACCCTAAAAACCCACAGAATCTTCTGTAAAACGAACCTGGAATTTACTTGTTGCCCGTACTGTGGCTTGCCCATGTCTCCACACATCACCCTGGTTTCCAGTTTTGTTCCAGACACTGGTGCCAAACGGAGCACCAATTGGTTTAGCGATTACATGAAGTAGATTGATATCTGACCCGTACATGTGATAGTAGAAGTTTAAGCATTTGCCCGTGGGCGCAGCAGGATAGGTTTGACTCACAAGCCAAGCTTTGTCACCCTTCTTCCTTGGCCAACTCGTTTCGATGTATACATAATATCCTGCAAGTAAGAGGGTGTAAAATGTTGAGGTAGAATGTTTTTCAAAATTAACTTTTTAGCTATAACATTCTTTTCCCTAGACGTTCAGTAAGAGATATCCCTTATTGATCCAGTGTTAGAACAGGAGAAAACCTAAACTACACTAACTTTATTCATACTGGATAGCTCTATCAGGTCTAAGATATTCTCCCTAGAGGTCCAGTGAGGATCATCTCTTATTGACCCCGTGTTACAACAGGAGGAAACATAAACTAAATTAACTTTATTTATACTGGATAGCTCTATCAGTCTGTTCTTCTTAGAGTTCAAGTAAGGATAATGCTTTGCTGGTCCAGTGTTACTACAAGAGGAAAATTGGTACTGCGGTGTTTTTAGAGTCAGATTAAAAGCAATCTTCTCACATGCAATCAAGGCGAAATTATAATAAAAAAATTTGCAGATTGCAGGAATCACGGCTGACATGCGCCATGAACACTGAGGCAATGTACAACCAGCACAAAGGTAATACCACCAACAACTTACCATTCCAAGTTCCGGTGGTATGGTCGACAGATGGTCCAGTACCGTACGAAGACGTCCTACCCTTCCGTCGTGTCCAATCGAACTGGTCTCCCTTTATGTTACTGAAATGACACCAATCATCACCGAAGTCACAGAATCGGGCAGGCGGGCATTTTCCATCGCCTAGTGTGATGTCATCCAAAGCTATATCTCCCTGATATGATCGCCCGCGTACACCTTCAAAGACGAGTGTGAACAGTTGGGTACTAGAGAGAGTGATTCGTCCCTGGCGCCATTGGTTGCCATGGGTACCAGTTCGACTCCAGATCCTAGAGGCAAGAGGAAGGATTAATAAATTCAGAATAAGGATTGGGTCAACTAGGTTTTACCCGACATTAGTATTAGGTTTACTGTCGATGCAATGGAAGTGTTGATAAAATATTGCACCAATTCCTTTCCTCAAGTTGATCAATTCATTTGATAGAAAATTGATCAACTTCCTGTTACTTTTAGATGAGCCAATTAGATTTCGTTTCAGAACCGATTGACCAATAGGAAACACACAGGAAGTAAAATGAAATTTGAATTCGTATGAATTGATCAACTTGAGGAAATGAATTCATGCAATATTTTATCAACACTTCCATTGCATCGACAGTAATAGCGAAATAATTAAAAAATATTAACAAGATATGTAAAAAATATATCTCACGTTAATAGAATGCATTTGTTGTGTTTCTGAGTCTAGTTGATGCGATTGCTTTACGTTTTCGTCGTACTTTCGTCGTTTTATTATTATTTTCTTTTCTTTCAAATCCTACACATATTTTGAAGCACGCGCACCCTCACATGTCTCAGATCTAGACAGCACGCGCACGCGTCTATTTTGTTCTGTTCTGTTCTGTTCTGTTCTGTTCTGTTCTGTTCTGTTCTGTTCTGTTCTGTTCTAGGGGTGCATCGGAACCAGTTTTTTAAGTTCCGGCCGGAACCGGATCCGACCGGAACTGGAAAACGTTCCGGCCGGAAGTTCCGGCCGGAACCGGAACTAATTTATTAAGCCATATATAGTCATATGTTACTTTGTCTGCTGCCAGACAGGCAGACACTTCAAGTCATCAAGGAGAGAGCTCGCAAATGTTAGAATAAAAAGATTGACAAACGTTAAACGTCATAATGAAGTGTTAATAGTGTACATTTCTCTTGCGTAGTCCAAATTTCTTCCTACTGTGACCTTTTGTTAGACACAAAAACGTTTGATATTCTATCTCTCTGAAAACGACAGAGTTCCGTTTCCGGCCACGCATTTTTTACTAGTTCCGGCCGGAACCGGAACAATAAAAATCGGGGTTCCGGCCGGAACTAACCGGCCGGAACCGAGTTCCGTTGCACCCTTATTCTGTTCTGTTCTGTTCTGCTCTGTTCTGTTCTGTTCTGTTCTGTTCTGTTCTGTTCTGTTTTGTTTTGTTTTGTTTTGTTTTGTTTTGTTTTGTTTTGTTTTGTTTGAACAACTCTGTGAACAATGTTCAAGCGACAAGAGTGCGAACGGGACTCTAAGACCCATGCGAGGCACTCTCCCGTTTCAAATAATATAAGATATAATTAAAAAGATAATAATACACAAGTATACATATATACATGATACTCCAATTCACGTAGACAGATACTAACTGGTTAACCCGAAACATACAATTACAATGCAATTATTACAATATAAACTATTACAATATAATATATTTAAATCACCTTATGCTCAAAGGCAATACCGCGTCAACAGTGTGTGGACTGTGTTGAAAATGTACTATAAAACAATGAATACATTAGTGTATAAGTTAAAAGGTGGGTGAGCCGAAACCTTAAAACGATGCATCGTTCAATGAAGCCGCTGGTATATGTCTACATATGAAATTAACTACCCCTATGACAAGAACATCTGCGATGCAATGACCAAATACAGGTCATGTTAACATCAAAATTTGTAGTTAATTAGTCGTAAAAGCTATGCAAAGATTTAAAGAAAAAAGTCATATCCTTAATCTCTCTGTCATATGCTAAAGGTAAAAACTGGTAAAAGATTTAGGACCAGTAGTCGATCTTTATAGTCCATTTCACCTTTCTTCATTTGAAGGATCCACCTAATTGTAAATGTAGCACGTCTTTGAACTCGCTCTACGTTGATTTACTTGCATATATAGATGGCAACAAGGCTTCTGTGGCATAGCATATAGTTGGGATTTGACGAACGATAAATACAAAGAGCGTCAATAATACAGTACATCGGACAATTGGACAGAGGCAGCAAGGGGGTGGATGGTTCAGGAATAGATGTTGTTTTAACAGGCTGGAAAACAGAACAGAAATATGAATTGAATTCTGTCCATACTTGATCTATGTTTGTGGGTTGACAGTTGATATTTCCCGATTGGGACGCTTTAATTAATAGAGACCTTACGATTATAGGACGGAAACGCGACGACGACGTCCAAAACAAACTGCTTCAAATAAATTGTAGTGAAGATAATTCGTGGTATATTATCAATCGTATGAATTTAATACAGTCTTAGAAGTTGGAGACATGGCCCGTCATGGGTTTTATGGTTGGGAAGAGTTCTGCTAACGCAGTTTGAAGTTGCACTTGTTGCGGCTTGAAATGCAGCCGTTGTATCAAGACGTGAAAATCTGTGATTTGGCGTTGTAAACAGAGCGAAGGACGGCAATGTCTAAGTTATTCATATATTGTTATTATTCAATTCTTTTCAATTATTTATTGTATTGGTAGCCGTTGCAGTCGCGTTGCCGTCCTAAATCGTAAGATAAATTAAATGATATCTTCTAATCACGCGAGCATACGACGCACGCGACACGAAAACGTCAGCGAAAGAACGCTGAATCAAATTAAAATTAAAACTTTCAAGCCCAAAAGCAATTGAAGATAGAACTTATTTGACCAGGATAATTGATGATTTTGATTTTTGAACTACCCCCACGTTCTTGAGAATTTTTATCGCTTGTGGCAAAATAATCTACATCCGCACGATTAGACTGACTGCTGGCTCTCATGGATAAACAAAGGGTTATGTTTTATACACCATTCGAACATTTGTCTCCATCTTGTTCGCCCTCCAGGTCTTTTAATTTGGGCTTGATTCCAACTTGGGACCCTTCTTCTCCCGTGCTGACACGCGTTGGATAGTTGATCAATGCACTACAACACTCCGTAGGTGGATCGTTATTCGTATTCACCGCAGCCGGAGAACTTTGTTCACGCTGACTATCGCCATCGTTGTTGTTGTCTTCGATTCGTCTCAAAATCTTTCTTTCGTCGTCCGTTGAAGTGTCGGTAAAGAACCCGTCTCCTATCTCGTCTTTTCCTGGCAAGCCGCCTGGAATGCGTCTCTGCCGTGAACACGGGATATATGGTACGGTCGTTGTAGTTTCCTTCTGATACAGGGGTTGCATGTCAGCCTTCGTAATTTGATCAATTTCGTGTCGTTTCCATAAGGATTCGCCATCCACGGAAGGCATAGCGGCGTTTCCGTAATTCTCGTACCAAACTAGTCCTTCATGAGAGATAAGATCTCCATGCTGAGTGATGAATTTCTTCTGTAGCCAGGCAATGCAGTCCATTACGTGATCGTGTAACCAACTATCGATGTCACGAATAGTGTTCGGTAAAGACGTTGACTGTTTGGAATATGCGAATTCGCCGTAAGGCATTTTTTAATACCATGGACTGGTGGAGCATTTACCCCCACTGGGCACCTTCCTGTGCCCCACCACTGAAGGAAAAAAATGGCCCATTGCCACAAAGCCAGGCCCTATGGCTGTATTGAGTAAATGAGTTTAACATTGAAAAGTTTGAAAACAAAGTTTGTAATTGGTGAGCATACTTAAACTTATGTTGTGCTTCAATGTTGCTTGTGCAATTTATTCTAAATTTACCATTAATTAAAACTTTCTTTTTTGAAGCTCCGATTTTTGTGTCTTTGAAGCATAGATGCATTGCTATGGATTCAGTTTGTGGGTTAAATTAATTAAAAACTCAGGTTGTGTTCTAGACTTGTCTGCGAACAGGTACAGGAAGCCTAAAATAAAAACACAATGGCGGCTTCTATTCTACATTTTATGTATACAATTATTAGTACATCGCTATTATTACCCTATTAACATCTATTTCACAAAGAACAATACAATGAAAATGTACTGTGACAAGGTGAGAGTTTGGTTTTTTGTCTAAACGTTTGTATCTGATTTGAAAAAAATTTAAATGTTGACATGTTGTGATCCACATGGATTCCACATTGATCGATCGTATATTAGTCTTTTATAACACACTGGCTGTGCTTTACTTTTCCTAGCTAGATGACGTTTCCCGAGGTGAAAGAATGTTGAGTAAATATTTGCAAGGCAGTTGCACTAAGTACAACATTGTATGGGCTAAGGGGATATAGTTGTGCTCAACACTGAAAATGTGTCGAGGTTTTTGACCAGGATTGTGGTATTAACTATTATGCTGGAAAGTAACAACATTTGAACTTAAACTTGAAAAATAGTATTTGATATTATATTTGTATACTTTGTTGTCTTGAATTGAAAATAAGTATAGGTTATTTTGAGGCAACGAGGGGATATATATGTGATTTATTCACCGAGGCGCGCAGCGCCGAGGTGAATAAACACATATCACCGAGGTGCCTCAAAATAACGTACTTATTTTTCACATTGCGAGGTCGCGTTAGTGAGTCAGAATAGAAATAATTCTTAATGCCATATTGCCTTCGTGATGTTGTTTTTTCTCATTTTTTGTGCTGCAAAGACATTGCAGGTGAATTTTAGAGGGGATTATTACAGGAGATTATTAGAGGGGAATATTGAATATATTCCCCGATAAGAACAAAGGAAACCGAGCAGGGTGAAAAATAAGAAATAGTATTAGTACATTACATAGCTGAAAGTGAAACGCACTGGTCGAGAATGTCAAAGTGGAGGGTAAGAGAAGCTCCAGAAGTACAAAACAATACATGACAAATGTGGGGACTTTCTAGGGGGTACAGGGCGTGCCCCCATGATATTTTAAGTTGGCGTATTCATCATTTTGTTGATCATAACTTTCTGCTTTATAATCATAACTTTGTTAATTAAACTTTCTGGTTACTGAAGAATAAACTTGTATCAAGTGTGTCACGAGAGCTACGAGGATTCCCCAAATACAATGAACTGAAATTTAATGCAAAGATCCAACCCCAAATATACCCCCAGAATTGACCAGTTACTACCAGTTCACTGATGCACTGATTCGACGTTTAACATTTTCGTCCTCCCGTCCAAAATCGGATTATTGTTGTTATGTACTGTTATATTGTTGTATTGTTGTTGTATATTTGTTTTTAAAAATGGGCTGTTGTTGTTTGCACATCTTAGATGGCCATGTTTCACGGACGTAACCATCCAGCCACCTTGAAGGACGGTCTTATCTGACTGCATTCTGTTGCTCGCCACTCATCAATGATCACCAGCTGGGTTGTCTCCGTAATCATAGCCTCCGAAAACTGACCTTCATTTGTTACTGATTGGATACATTCTGGTGGAATAATTCGATGGAATACGTTGCACTACGAAGTTTTACCAGAATCACATGGACCAGCTACTACAAGTTTTCTTAGTGTCTTTTGGGCATTTTGGAGGCAAAATGACACTGGTAAAATTTATTGAGGAAATTTACACGCTCTTCACCAGGGAACGAATTTAGGATACCTTCCTGAAAATATCTAGATTGGGGTGATGTTGAACAATCATAAGGAACGAAGGCCCGTGGTGAACTTAATTGCCGCCAATCTTTGATGACGGTATATGGCGTTCGCCATGAACGGGCGTTTGCTGATGGAGAAACAAAAACCGTTAGACACTTAATTCGATTAGTTCTAAGTCGAATTTAATTCGCTTGATCATTTCGCAGGCTGGATGTGATATAATTCTCTCAACCGCTTGGAAGTATCGAGCAAGGTCGTTGCAGACTGTATGGAGTCAAGATAACCATCGTGATTGACGATAGTCAGATAGTCACACAACAGGGCACGCTCGGGAAGTGTGTCGGATCAAATTCTTCAACGTATTCCACTTCGTCATTCTCCTCATCCGTAGAGGAGTCGTGGACATTGCGGTAACAGTATACATAGTTCGAATGTCAAGCATGTCCTGGACACTGCGGTTGTTATAGTCCTTCACTGTTTGAAAGAGTTGTCTTGCCGCACTTCCCAATTCATTATTAGCAGCGTTTCGAACTTTCATACCTACAATGACCGGCTCTAAATCTTGCTTATGTAGCCGGTAAAAAAGGTGTTGTCGTTGCAATTGTCGGTGGGTGTGTACACAACGAAATATGCAATCGAGGGATAGCTTCCATTCTCTTCCGTGTTGGTGTGTTCCTCCTCAATATTTAATGATTTTATGACTCCTTCTATCGCATTAATGGCATCGTCCAACAGCAATCTTAAACTAGCTATTTTAAATCTTGCAATCTCTATATCTTCGTTGCGCACACGCCAAGTAGCACGACATGCGATTGCTTTCTAGCTAGCTAGCTACAGTGTAGCTAGCTGGTCGTTTCTTATCTAATAAATGTTAACGACGAGCCGTTTAATTATTGCACTTAAGTGAGTAACGAAAATGGCATTGTAAATGAAAAACAAACTTGCCAGACTTAAAATGTTCGCTTTTAAAGAATTCTGTATTCGTTTGGAATCCAGCTGGTTACGCGGTTTTTGGAGGCATTTTTAACCAAAGCTATCATCCTCATCCTCATCATCATTTGTTGTTACCTGTAAGGGTCTCAGATCGGGAAATTTAGTAGGCCTTCGAAAAGCCAGTGTCTAATAGAGAGGTGGGATAGCCACGTTGGACAAAAAAGTGTCTCATTTCGATCCAGACTTTTGGCTTGAGGGGTTCTCTTCTTCACTGCAAATGCGGCGAAGGCGAAGAAACTGAGAGAAGGAAATCGACCTTTCGGTGTTTGGGACGAGAAAAATAGAAGATAGCTATGGGAATCATGCAGTAAGCTTGTTTAACACAGAGGTTTGGTGAGCATTAGCCTGCGTGGCAGGCTCATTATTTGAGCATCGGCGTGCAGTCATTGGCAATGATGCTAACCATCCTGTTGCCAGACATTTTAATTAATACTGGCAATCACAGTGTTTCAGATATTGAAATTCGAGCCTTCTGTCCAATTTCTGAAAGTAACGATAGCCGTGAAAGGCATGAAATGCGTCTCATTCTCAAACTTAAACTTGGCAATGTCCACCCCTATATGTGGCATTAATGAACGTTTTAACTCTTCTGTCTTTGCCTGTCAAAAGCAGACATTGACAGTAAGTTTAATTCAGATTACCTTATTCCATCATTGTTTCATATATTTCATATATTTTGTTTTATTTTCTGTGGTTTTCTGTATATATATTTGTATTGATATAATTATTATTCTGTAATGTGATGCATTATATATATTATCTTATTGTGTATACTAAATTTGTTTTGACTAAATCCATCTAATTCGCTTATTTTTTGTCACGTGATATTTTTATATTCTTATTATAAAAGCTCGTGTATTTTTCCGACTCCTGCTAGTAACTCAAGATGAAGGGCCTTCGCTCAAAACGTCAAAATTCTCCTTCTGTTTTTCAGGTAGTTGCATCCATACCAACGAAAGCATCATATAAATAGTTGCATGTTTTTTTGTTTGTTTGTTTTTATTTATTTATTTCGCCCAATTTTCCAAAGTACAATAAAATTTAACTATTTACATTTTTATAATCTATACGTAGGGCTAGAGATCTTTTAGAAACCCTTTTGGGCTTTTATGTTAAGACCCCTAATTATAACAAAACTTTTATTACTTAGTATAATTTCATGATGTCATAAAAATAGTACATAATATAATAACGAAAATATATACAATTGTGAGAGTGTTTAAAGGAAAGTTAGTCTATTTACAAGATTTTTCAGATTTTTTAAACTTTATACATTAAAATAGGATGATGTGCGTGAATATATTTGATTTAAACGTTTTTATGAATAACAATGCTGTAGAGAAGGTTACGTACTTTCACTATTTCTTTATCCCAAGCGGTTGTCTAGCTGGCGATTAATATAGTGTGTGTTTTGTGAGAATTTTTGACCTTCGACATTTTAGCCTCGCCCTCGACATATAATCGTTGATATCATTATATGGCAATCCTAATAGTAAACACGAAGTAAATACGAAACGACATCGACATTTTACCCTCGACAACTGTTCCTCGACACTCGACCAATAAATAAACTATTCAACAAAACTTCAACAATAGATGTGTCATCCAATCTTGATGCACGAGTTTCCGAATTGGCAGCAGGTGATTGGTTACCTAAAACGGAAATGAATTCAACGATGAATAAGCTCTATAGACAGGAACTCCCGGAAAACCGAAGGGCAGATCGAATTGGCATCAAGGACGGCAAAGACTGTTTCCCAAAATTTTATTATTTGCAGTTTAATTAAGATCTTTCAAATCAAATGGAGGTTTTACCCAACACGGTAAGTTTGAAGCAAGTATGATTCATAAAGATAAAGCAAGATTATAAGGCAACACGCACTGGTCTTTAATAGTTTAATATCATACGTTTCTTAACGGCGCGACATAACAAATTAAGATGATTTAACTGAAACTGTTCTAAAATGGAATGAGCGAAGGTTCAGTGTGTGCATCATTTCGTACTTTTAACTACCTTTTAACAACAGAACTCGACAAAACGTAGCTATACGTTTTCAGTTAAATTTCGAAATATATTGCTTGTGGAAACGAATACAACGAAAGCTCAAAGACACCAGTTAAATCCTTCATAGCTACCGAATCCGAAATGATTTTTATTTTTTAACCTGAGAGTAATAACTGCCGGTATAAAATACAAAATCTTTCTGTTTCCATTCATTTTGTTTTATATATATATGAAGTCAGTCAATAATATTGACTGACTTCAGTAGAACATGCATGTGCCTTTATATGGCCTCGTAGGCCCTGACATACTTCAATAGACAAACTGTGAGAGAACGTATTCGTCGTTCACATCGTAAGTCACATTTAGTCTAAATTAGATGAAAAACATTATTTTGATTTATATATAATATATTATTTAACATATCATATGAAAGAGAAAGTAAAGTATGTCAGTTTCTATTGGCCATTGGCATATCATTAAGGCAAGATATCTAGTTGCGAAATTTGCCTTGAACACAACGCAACTAATGAATAGTGTAATATATTTTCCTTTTTAAAACAATACTTCACATAACTGAACGATACAGCCATAACAGTACAATACTGATAGCCCAATTCGACGATTTTCACCCCGCTTGTATTTATTGAATTCAAACTAAAGCCCAAGCGTGAAGCGTCGCTTGCCAGTGATATAGCTACCGGTTCAGTGAATGCCATGGTCCACGCAATTTTACCGCTGAATTGCTGAAACTAAGGAAAATGAAACTGGATTTACCCAAGCACAAGTCAACCTTACACAACACTTGAACACAAGCGAACGTTTGTTGTAGTTGATCCAGCTGAAACGTAAACGAAAATGCACGTGAATTATTTCTTATCCAGAATTTTGTGATTTTTCTGTCGTGCCATTTAACGCTCACCCTTTGCAAGACTTCAATCCAGGCGTTCATATCTATAACATTTGAATGAAGGCAGAAAAATAGCCTGTGAATATAAAGCATCACAATTGGTTTCTGGAAACGACTTATTCAAATATTCTCCACCCGACGACGTGTCTGCTTGAGGAAGGAATAGTGTCGTTGCTAACATGCTATTTGATGAGATAGAAGAATGAAGATTGAAGAATGTTAAGCAGTCCTACGTTTTTTCTCGAAAGTCGAAGTTTCTTAAGATAACTATATATATTTAACTCTTCATTTTCGAATAAAATAGAAAACAGATCGACAGACTATAAGAATACGAAAGTGAAATGTGACACCTGTTGTTAATTGTTGTGGTTTGCAATTTTGCATTTTGTTATATGTATATAACCTAAGCTTTATACATATTTTTAACAGTTTGTTGACTGTGCGGCTGTGTCGATTTTGTTAGAATATGTTACAGTCAAGCAAAGTGCTGACTTGAATGGCATGGTATCGTGAATTTTATTTGAAATGAGTGTACATATTTGGTCGGCTGTATTGTCTCTAAGCAGTCACGCATCGACAATCATGACACTGGTCACACATTGTTGTTGCATAAAGGTCATGTAATAATTGATAGTACGGCTGATATACCGACTTTAAACCGTCTAGATATATCATATATGCTTCAAGATGTGCGGTACAGCCGGCCAACGGCTTTCCTGAATATTCTAGGAAAAAGATGAAATTCTATCTTCTTCCTTGTTGTTAGGTATATAAACTATATATGTCAAATAGCAATATAAACTGTGTATACTGTTAGAATATGAAGGCAACTGTAATTGCAATTTATCTTGGCTCCCAGACCTAGCCTCGTAAGTCACATTGAAATTCTTTGAACATTTTACAATTTGGAAACGAGAATTCTACATTTCCACGAATGAAACGAATGGTATAAACTTGCCAACCTACAGTAAGTACCTTGTCTACCAAAGCTATACTGGCGGTTCCAATTTACAAACTACAAAGATGAATGAGTGAGAGTCGAATGCACTACTCCTATAGGTTTACTATATCTACAATATACTCAACTGAGTCTGAGAATGGAATGCGCTATGTCACGATTTTATTGAAACCCGATAATTTATTTTGATTTGAATAAGTACGTCATGTAAAAAACTAAAAATGTATATTAATTCAAATCTCACAAAGATTCCAGTTATTACTGCCATTATGGTTCTGTACACTCTCAGCTTTGTATAGAAAGTATTTCCGTACGCTTTCCTGATATTTACCATGCAGCTGTTTAAAGGAGAAATGTTATCCATTAGAAGACTTAGAAGAGCTCAGAACTTTATCATAAACATCAATGATGACTGATGAAAAATTATCTCGATTCGAATGGCAAACAGGTGAGATATTTTTGCAATTCTTATACTAACCTACTGCATATGTGATATGTAAACCAGCACCATTATCCAATTACCAAAATGGGCATATATAACCAGGGTTATATATTAGATTATAGCTGCTCCATTGTATTTAAGCAGCAAAAATAGATCTAATTTCTGGTATAAGAAGTGATCGAGCAGCATGTTACGTTAGGCAGTGACTTTGCCCTTTGTTATACCCGTCGTAATATATAGATACACATATTGTTAAGTCTTTTAAGACTTAAAAGAATTGCACTTTTGGTTCCTCATTTCCGTTTGTCATCCTTATTCATGCTTAAGGTCAAAGAGGTTAAATTAAGGTCAAAGAGATGAACTTATTTATCACTTCTTATACAGGGGCCCGGCCCCCGGTTAATTATCCACATAACATAGTCAGGTTAAATTAAACAAGGCAGTCCTGGTCAAAATAACTAGACTATGGTATACGAAGCGATATACAATAACCAAGAAATTTAGCCAGGAACATTAAGTTAGGTTAACCAAGAGAATTTTAACCAGAGTGTTTTAGAGTGTCCTAAGGTGTAACTTTTTAATTTACATAATTATCGTACTTTATTTCATGTTTATAGTTACATCATTATACCATGTATAATAACAAGTAAAGACAACTATCTGCAACTGAAGCGAATTTTGGAACCTCCAAACACCCTGAAAGGAACTGATTCAAAGTGCGAAACAAAATTGTTTCTGTTCTGCAATCATCGAATGATAGATTAAATCGTGGAAATCTTTAGCACAAGGACATTAGAGCTCACCAATTGGAACAAAACAAATGCAGGTTCTTTGGAGGTTTCGCGCCAACACCATACTACATTTAGTTGATCTATACAAATGCATTATCTGTGGAGAAATTCCTTCTCTGTGATCTTAATCCTAACCCTTATGATTTTCCTAATCCTATACATCCTCTAATGGTATACCGTTATGATTTAACCCTGATCAGTTCTTTAACTCCTATACCTCGCCTAATCGTAAAGCTTTGATAAAATTGCAGTCATGCAAGTACCATTGTGATGTCATCTTTGGTCAAGTTTGGTTGCTTGGATTTACTGTACGCCATTTCAGTTGGACAACTTCTGAATTTGCAATTTAACAATGCCACTTTTAAAGGAGCGTGTGAACGCCTGAATTTCAAGAATGAAACCAGCCAGTCAGAAGTAGAAAGCGATGGTGTGAACTGCATGCATGAAACCAAGTCAAGCCAAAGCTTTATGATTTCTTTGAAATTAATCAAAAACACCAACCTTATAACCGCTCTACATCTGTTGAAAGTAAATATTAAAAATAGCGTAAAAGTTAGCCAGAGTATAATATAGTATTGTGCATCCTGTTGAACGTTTGTGTCAAAATAATATTTTGTTAAGCCCATCTTGTTCAAAGTAAAAGTACAAAAAGTAACACTAATTATTAGTCCTTCATATTCTATATTCTGTTTTACTTAAGCCGGAGGAAAGACTTTCGTGGAATACCCCATCGAGATCCAGACTAAAAAAACGAAAGAGATCCGATGATGAGATAGCGAGAAAGGGATACAACTCAAACAATACTGCCGAGGTAAAGTAATTATTACTTATTAACGCTTTTTGCATAGCCATAGGGTGAGTTCGAATCATGCATTTAATGATGTTTGCACATAAAATCCTTCCTTGTGAAATCTGTATAGTTTGTTTTTACTATTCCCTATTACTTGAACCCTATAATATGGTCAGTAGACCTACAATCATAGAATAATTAATCGGGACAATCACTATTAAAGTGTCACTCAAACAGCATTGTAATATCTGTAGAAAGAAAACTTTTACACGCAGCTTTTAAACTATATTGTTGCAGATCGTACATTCATACATTAACGTTACCCTGCCCTCCCCTCATCCCCCCATCTTACATTGTTGGTTCCCCGGCTATTTGCCCAAAACGTTGCGCAATACTCGTGAATATCATATGGTCGTGAACACAACATTGAATGGGGGAGGGAGGGGAGGGAGGGGGGACGCACAATGTAAGCCCGAAATATTCTACTTTCTTTTCAAGTAATAAACGTTTAATATGTCCCAAAGTGATTGTTCCATGATTGTAGAAAATTCGGTTTTAGTATTATTCCATCTGAGTTGTAATCAATAAATCCATTTTCAGGACAAGGAACGTATTCACTTGGAATCAGAGCCAGAGGTAAATAAAAGTCTCTAAAATGTTTAGATTGAATGAGCGATTGATAATCATTAACTTGATGATAAAGGTTATTGGATAAAGCCTTAGGAAGTTATTGTCGTTGTTGTTGTTGTTGTTGTTGTTGTTGTTGTTGTTGTTGTTGTTGTTGTTGTTGTTGTTGTTGTTGTTGTTGTTGTTGTTGTTGTTGTTGTTGTTGTTGTTGTTGTTGTTGTTGTTGTTGCTATTATTGTTGTTGTTGTTGTTGCTATTATTGTTGTTGTTGTTGTTGTTGTTGTTGTTGCTGTTGGTGCTGTTGTTGTTGCTGCTGTTGTTGTTGTTGTTTTTGTACTTGTTAATATTATCGTTGTCGCGATCATTAACGCAATTGTTAATAATACTGCTAATTGTCACAATTTGTTCTTGATCGACAAGATATTTGAAAGACCGAGTCTTACTTACGTTTTGCCTCGGTATAAGCAGCCACTTCACAAATGCTCATAGTTTTCTTGGACGTGTGCTGCTTTATAGATATAATAGATCCAGCGAGACGCGGCTCACAGTAAAATGCCTTCGTATGTACTCCTGCCATGCTCTGCATCCCAGGGAAACACGGGAATTTATTTTTAAAAAGCTTACCTAAATTAAAACCCATATTATATACAAATATAACTTTCAATTTCGAAACGTTCACACAAAAACAATTGACCATTGTGGAAATAACATTTTAGATGGTTTGGTTTGGTTTGGTTTAAAATAATATACATGAAAAAATTCTCAATTCTGATTGGCTATAAGAGCAGTGCAATTTTTCGAAATACAGTACCAAAAAATGAAATACATTGCAAAAAAATACAGTGCAAATTTTTTAATTTTCTTAATTTCTTAACAACTAAATGTGATATTTAATGTCAGTGATTCTTAATTTCTTAATTTTTCATGTATTAATTAATACCGTAAACCTCCGAATATAAGCCCCCCCCCCCCCCGAACATAAGCCATCCTCCTGTGTATAAGCCCACCACTTATCCTGACGCTCACCTCGTTCCAAATCAGTGGCGTCGAAAGATCGATAATTGGGGGGGGGGAGCATATTCATATATTCATGTTCTGCTTTATTAATTTCTTTTGAAATCAATTGTTTTTAATTATGGTATGTGAACACGAATATATGAATATCCCCCGACCAATTATCGATCTTTCGACGCCTATGTTCCAAATATAAGCCCCCCGAACATAAGCCCACCCGAATATAAGCCCACTTGTTTATCACTATTGTTTATCACTATTACCACTATTAATCACTATTATTACTATGCTTAACACTTGTTTATCACTATTACTATACTTGTTTATCACTATTACACTAACACAAAACATCGTCCATGTATAATTAGCCCCTACCGTATATAAGCCCTCCCCTTGTATAAGCCAATCAAAAATCGCTTACGAAACAGTGCCGTAGCAAGCGCAATAATTGGGGGGGGCTCATATTCATATATTCGTTTATTAATTTCCTTTGAAATCGATTGTTTTTATGGTCTGTGAACACGAATATATGAATATCATTCCCCCTAATTATCGAGCTTGCTACGGCACAGCCGGAAGAATATCAGCCCAGGGCTTATAGTCGGAGTTTTACGGTATTAGGTAATAGTATGGTTCTCGTTACCCTGGATTCCAGAGCCTTCGATAGTAAATAATAAATTGAAACGTCGCGAAGGCTCTGGTTCAACGGGGAGATTCTTTGATTAAACCGCGCCAATTACAAAACAGAATGGTGCGGTTTAATCAAAGAATCTCCCCGTTGAACCAGAGCCTTCGCGACATTTCAATTTATTATTTACTGTCGAAGGCTCTGGAATCCAGGGTAGGTTCTCGTGCAATTTGAAAAAAAAACATACACTCGTGAGTTTTTCAATTAAAGATTTCAAATTGCACTCGTCCTTCGCTCTCATGAAAAAATCACTCGTGCAAGCTTTTTTTTCTTCCAAATTGCACTCGAAACCATGCTATTACCTATACTTACCCACAGCTTTAATCCTGGTTCAGGGTCTTAGCTAGGATTTTAGATCTCGGGCGTGTTTCTTAGAACACAAGAGGCACAGTGGCCAAACATTTCTACCGAGCGTTTTAAAAATAGTTTTATCAATAGATGTATTTTTAGATATAATTTAGCTTTGCAACTCTCATAATATAACCTAAAAATTTTTTAATGTTAAAAACTTGTAATATATTTTAAAATAATTAATTTGTAACACTTGATATGTAATTTATCAATTGATTTTAATAAGATTAAAGATTAAAGATTAAAGTTTCTAAATGCCAGGGTGCATGTGCATATTTGTCGTTATGCTCGCCAACAACAGACAATACCTGCGTGTGGTTGTTGTATGCTTTGCAACCAAATACAAGGCTAGCTCACATTGCCTATACTGACATTAAAATATTAAGTTATTTCAGCAACTCTTGAGGGTATTTAAAAGTTAAACCATTTTAATACCATATGGTTCTCATTATCCATCGAAACATTAAAACATCACGGATCCCTTTTTCCAATTTCAACCACAACAGTAGATTTTAGAAACTTTCTTACGACGTAAGTTGGAAGAAATTCTGTCTGTTGTAAGTAGGAACACCTTATTTTATGAACCTACGCGACCTTATATAAATAATGAAGTCCCGTTCATTTTATCTAGCCGTGTTTTTCTGTTTTTGGCCGCGATAACACGGCCAACACGGCCCTCTATACAGCTAAGACCCTGGTTCACACTACAGGGCCGTAGCAACCGGGGGGCTGGAGGGCTGCAGCCCCCCCCCCCCAATAATTTGCTAATAATCACTCTTTTTTCAAAATCATGCAGACCTTTATCATTTAATCTATGACAAACTGCAAAGAATGAAGATATTACCCATACTCCAGATCCGGTTCACGCGCAGAAATTTTAGCTGAATTTCTGTCCGCGCATTTTCAAGAAAATCCTGCAAAATCTGCACATTTTTGATGAACTAATGATTTATTTTGTCTTTTGCGTGTTGGGCATTGCGAGAGAAAACTCTGAAAATGTCATTTCAGACCATCTCTCTCATCAGATTTTGGCGAAATTTTCTCAAATGTTCTGCCTTCTTTTCCGCGCAACTGCTATTTACGACGAAAAGTTCCCGCCGCGCAATAATAATACTTTATAATCTGGCCCATACTTTCCTGTAAATTTCGACATACTAAAACGCTGTTTTTTGACTATCAGAATTCTGTCTAATCTTCCGCCAAAGTCCAGGAAATGGCATTTCAGAGACTCTAAATTTAAAAATTTCCTCGGGCCTTCGGCCCCAGTCGAAAAGAGCTTCCTACGGCCCTGCACCAGCAATTCCGTCGGCGATATTTCTTCTCCTGGCAAATGTGATCGAACGAATGACATGCAAAAGACTTGAAATGATTTACTTCTGAAAAACGACTCTATACTTTTTTGTGCGAGTTCACTCATTTGCATCCGTCAGAAACACAAAATCGCGGACAAAATTGCTAGTGTGATCCAGGCTTAAGGTGCGACTAATTTTCTTTCGTATCAGTAAATGGCCCTATTATGTCCAAAGTTTGATTTAATAACTGCTTGAAACTGGGATTTAGTGGAAGAAATGGGGATTCCGAAAAAATGGGCTGGGATATGGGATCACTCGATCCATGAAACGTTTGAGTCGGTTTGACGTCTGCAACAGGCCTTCATAAGAACATTCACGCCTACTCACCGACTAGTATTTCAAATTCAACCAAAGAGTCCAATTTCGTCGGATTGCCAACAATAAAAATTTTATAAATGTCATAAGTTGCGCCCATCGTGATCATCACTTTCTTCATGGCGTCTGTACTCTCGATCATAACATGACAGGCTTCGTAAATTCCGTCAGTAACGTGTTTCACATGGAAATCGCTGCTGTATACTTGAACATTGGCGATGTTGCTTGAGTGTACCGCCACGTTATCTGGAGAATAGATCATAAGAACCGTTTACACTACGCTCAATTTTGGTACCCCTACCATTTCTAGATGAACATCGAGGGGCGAACCTAGCCCATTTTAATTAGGGAGGTGTCTGCTAGAATTGCCCTGCAAAAGCCGATGATGCCCTGCAGCAATTTTTTTGGACCATTATTTTTCCATTTCCCAATTGGCAAACCAGTCAAATTAAGGGTCAAAATATTTTTCCATACAAATTCCTGTTAAAACATCTGTGAAACCCTTATTTTTGGACCAATATTTGTAAAAATTTGTCTATAAGTCCATGTAAGTTACTTATAATAACTCTACATTCTATCATTTACAATCTTTGATTGCCCTGCCAATCCAGATGATTCGCCCTGCCAATCCAGATGATTAGTACTTGGGGGGGGGGGTGTCACCCCCCCCCCATGTCCCCCCTCAAGTTTCGCCCCTGTGAACATCTTGATTAGCATAAGCACATTCAAACACAATGTAGGAAAATTTCAAAAAATATCGCGCTCTGTTAAGAAGAGCCAAGAATTATATGACTGAAAACGCCCTTAAGATGATGTATATAAATCGTTAGTCTTGCCACATTTTCCCTCCAAGTCCTTGTATATATAGTAATGATTTATTAATTAATAAAGTTTTTAAAGAATACAAGGAAAGTTGGTCGTATACATCGACAATTTCAGCTGGAAGACTATTCCAGGATATAGCTCCGCGGTATGAAAAGCTATTTTTCATAAAGTTTGCATGTGTTTGGTTTGTTTAAGTTTTCGATCATTACTTCTTAATTGATACGTGTCATTATGACTGGCGACAAACAGGTCTGACAAGTAGTTAGGCGTTTCACCCCGTAATGCTTTAAATGCTATAATTTTGTAAGTCACCTTTTTTAAGAATAATTTCAATTTTTTCCCAACCTAATTTTTCAAATATCTCTGATGATCTTATTTCATAATTTAAACCCGTTATCACTCTAGCGGCTCGCTTATGCAATTTGTGTAGTTTTTCAATATGTGCACAACTACCACCATTCCATATATTCGAACAGTATGTGAAATGAGGTAGGACAAGTGCATTAAACATGTTTAGAAGTGTATCTTGACTTACAAATTGCTTTGCTCTTCTCAAGAGATACAGATATGGAAAACGACCTCTTTATTCGTTGTTATTATACAGTGTGTATCAAAATAATTCGAATCCAAATTTGGCGTATAATAACGCAGAATATATTTGACAAATTCGGTTGGTTTTTACACCATTGTTAAGTTCATTTATTTATCTTTCAAATGACATGCTGTACGCGTCATTTAGTTGGAAAATGAAGGAGTATTGCTTTGACAAGTCCATAAAAATCACAATTTTCCGCCGATGGGAATTGGACATTTTTTCTTTCAAAGTTAGTCCCACAAGGCTTTGAAATGCTAATCATCACTGAAAACTAAAATGCAAATTTAACGCGAATTTCTTCTCGTTCGACATGTTGAAAGCATAGGAGCTTAAATCTCTTTAAATGAACATGAATTTATGTAAATTTTGCTACATAACAAAAATACAAAACAATGGACACTCCGAAAACGGTTAACATTTTGATTCGACGTTTCGACTAGCTTGCAGTCATCATCAGGAATTGATTCCTGATGATGACTGTAAGCTAGTCGAAACGTCGAATCAAAATGTTAACCGTTTTCGGAGTGTCCATTGTTTTGTATTTTTTTAAATTACTCAGTGGTAACCGTAACTTTTGGCTACATAACAGTTTGTTGATTAATTAAATTTGCATTATCTTTTGTTTGTACGTCTCACTTCGAATTCCCATCGGCGGAAAAATTTGATTTCGAGCAACCAGTTTTAACACACGATTTCTTGGTCACTTTTGATCTTATTGATATAAGAACGATATCATCGGAAACCTAATAGGCTATTCTTTATTGCCATATAAAAATTATATGGTTTACTTTAGTATTTTATAAACAGCAGTCTGTCAAATTTGGATTCGAATTATTTTGATACACACTGTATAGTGTATAGCAACACGCGGGATCGTCGAGGCCGTTTGGGGGACAGCTTGATTAGATCCACAACAAGTAAAACTTCAATACGTATATCTTTCTTAATATCTTTTAATGTTTCCCCAGTGCGTGCTATGTTCCAATTCTTGAATGAATGTGCGTATCGTTATCTATTTACATAAGACAAGGTGCATTGTTCATTGTTCATTGTGCATTGTCCATAGGTGCGTGCGCATCCTGATCTTAATAACCAAACAATGGGATACTTTATTTAAAGAGGGTGACACTAATGAACTTGCGGCCCTCAGCAATTGACTGGGAAATTTTTTTGCAATGTGTATCGTTATGTTCTTTCCACTTTCACTGTTCATCAATAATAACCCCCAAGAACTTTCTTACTTGGGACCTGCTGTATAATATGGTTGCCAATAACTATTTGAGGATTACTTGAAGATTGTTGTAGTCTCTGTCTTGAGCCTACCAACATGCATTCAGTTTTTTCCTGATTCAATGTTAATTTGTTGGCAATTAGCCATTTATGTACGTTTTCTAAGTCAGTGTCAATTTTGTTTTCGATTTCTGTGGACGATTTACCTTTACAAGACAAGTTTCTATCGTCCGCAAACACCAGAAGCTTGTGTTTCTTCTAGGCAATTAGGGAGGTCATTAATGTATAACAGAAAGAGTAACGGGCCTAGTTTTGATCCCTGGGGAACCCCGCAAGTTACATTAGTAACTTCTGACATTATATTTTGAAGTTTACATATCTGTTTTCTTTCAGAGATATAAGATTGAAATAAGTGTAATGCGGTTCCTCTTATTCCGTATAATTCTAGCTTTAAAAATTAGAATTTTATGGTCAACAGTGTCACAAGCAGGGCCGTAGCCAAACGCGATAATTGGGGGGGGGGGGTTATTATTCATATATTCATGTTCACATACCGTAAAAACAATTGCTTCAAAAGAAATCCGTCGGGCAGAACACAAATATATGAATATGTCCCCCCCCCCAATTATCGGTCTAGTTACGTTCCTGGTCAAAAATCTTTTTTGAGGTCTAGAAATAAAAAGCAATTAATCAGACCTTTGTCCATATTAGTAAGACATTGGTTAGCGGAATAATACGAGACTGTTTTTTAAATCATTGCAACTACCAAGCTTGAATCATTGAGCTAATTTGCAAGTCCCCCCCCCCAACACCACCCGTCCCCGCTCACCTGTAGTTTCAGGGTTCACCACGATCTCCCCAATGGAAAAAATTGCAGAAAATTCTTCTACAAGTTGAACGTTAACATATCTCCCAATCACTTTGCAATAAAATGACCTGATCTCCAATTGGTAGAAGACGTGACTGCCACAGAAGTGATTTGAATTCCCATTGTTCGCAAGGCTGCGTCCTGAAAAAAGAAAGAGTTTCTAGTAACATCTTGATGTTTAATTTCGCTCGCAAATATATCTTGCTTTGATCTCAAACAGTGAGGGACACCAGGGCACAGAATAGAGACTATACAGAAACCCAACTTCTTGGTTTTTCCTATGACTCTGGCCTAACCGTAATTTGTCATCAAAATGCTGACGCAATGGTCCTAGCCAGTGCGCTTATGAACCATTCACCCCCTAATGATATTCAAAATGGCGGACGTCCAGAGGGGAAGAATTGCTTCTCACACGCGCGCTGGCTAGGACCATGACGCTAGCATTTTGATGACGAATCATAGCGTGGCAACAGTTATGGGTTTTTTTCCTGAGTCTACCTTCTGTGTGTATTTATTCTGTGACTAGTCTGTGTGTATTTATTCTGTGACTAGGGGGAGGCAACACACACACACACCCTGGCCTCCGCAATAATTTCTGAAACCCTTTGAATGACGGCTGAGTTACTGTGTAACAGTGTAATGCATGTAGTAAAGACAGCTCCCTCACAGTCTCCTCCTAACCCCCACCTACCTGTTTTAACTGCCATGTTCTGCGTCCTCACAACTTCTGTATGTAATAAAGACTAAAGATAGCCCCCTTTCAGTCATTCCCTCCTACCTCCCACCTACCTTTTCTTACTTCTGTATTCTGTGTCCTCATGCACAACTTCTGTATGAAGCGAAATAGCCCCCTCTCAGTCTCTTTCCCCTCCTAACCCCCACCTACCTGTTTCAACTGCCATGGACTGGGTCCTCACAACGTCTGTATGTAGTAAAGATAGCCCCCTCTCAGCCTCCCCCCCCTCCTAACCCCCACCTACCTGTTTTAACTGCCATGTTCTTTGCCCTCAACTTGTTAAGATAGTAAAGATAGCTTCCTCTCAGTCTCCTCCCCCTTCTACATCCCACCTACCTTCTCTTACTTCTATGTTCTGTTTCCTAAGATCTTGTGTATGTAGTAAAGACCCCACCTATCTTCCCCTTCTGTCATGTTCTGCCTCCTCACAACTTCTATATGTAGTAAAGATAGCCCCACCTACACGCTCTCACTGCTATATCCGCTTTCGTATCACAGAAATATATTGCAGTCGTCAAAGAAATCGCCATATCAGCGGAATGAGGAAATAAACAAAAATTTCCGAACACAATTTTTTAGAACAACTATTTTACTGTATAAAAATGATATTTTCATAAATATATCTTAAAACCAGCAGGAACATAACTCAAAAGCGTAAAGGTACCGCGATTTAAGATTTTCCTGAATAATTCTTACAGTATTTTATTGTTTGTCAATTTTACAACTTTACCATATTTTGCATGCACTGGCTAACATTTGGTGAAAATTTGATGAAAATCAGACTGATTTTGAGCGCGCAGTAGCGATTTTCCACAAAACGCCAAAAAGGGTATCCTGTAACCTTAACTGTATGCCCTCACCTACCCGCTCTCACGGCTATATCCTGTTTCGTACTGCTACAACAATCATTCCTTAGCCATATCACTACTTCGTGTATGTAATAGAGTTCTTCCAAATCGACTCTTATCCATGGTTGTACTTCCTGGTTTGTGACGAAATAGGATTCGAAATTCATGTCCACTGTTCGCGAGGCGAGATAACCAGCATTATAAGCTGAGCTTCGTGTTACCGGTTTGTTGAGGGCAACGCTTTCTGTAAAAATAGAAAGAGGAGTTATTTGAAACGAGTCTTATTCGAGAGCCTTTGCCTACCAGGGTCACCGCAACAGTATAAAAACCATTTACTGTGGCCTTATTTTACAAATACTGCATAACTAGGTTACCTAAAATGTAGTAAATGCTGCCTTTGAGTAGCACACGCCATGAACGTTTTAAAATACTGTTTGTAGTGATTGCAAATCAAAGATGTGTTATCGCATACACGAAATATACAAATACAAAATTTGAAGCGTGGCCTATAAAACTGCGCCGGAAACGTATTAAAATACTATCTAAAATATAGTGAAATATAGCAGTATTAGACTTAATTTTTAAATCCGATAGTATTTGTCGTTTGTATTTGTACGCGCACTATAAAAACAGCGATTAATTCAACAGATTCCACTTGATATATTCTTGCTTTAACTATGCTTTAGTGAATATTTATACTTCCATAAACACAAAGGCCTGTTTACACCGGCAGGTACAAAACGCAGGTTGCAGGTTGCAGGTTGCAGGTTGGAATTTTGCAGGTTGGGAATTTTGCAGGTTGGAATTTTGCAGGTTGGGGATTTTGCAGGTTGGAATTTTGCAGGTTGCCAAGAACTTTGCAGGTTGATAATGCAAACTTAAAATTACACCACTTTTTTAGTATTCTAGTATAATTTAGTTGTGCATTTATTGCAGTCTGACTCCTTGTCAGCGCCTCTGCTCTAATGCTAGTGGCCATCACCCCCGTAAAAACATTCAAAATGACCAGATTGGCTTGGAGCTACAGGGAGACGAATGTTTTGATTGTTGCGAGGTGCCTACATGACGTGACGGCGTTTATACTAGAATGTTGTCAAAAGTTAACTAACTCTCGGGTAATGATACGGTAATTGGGGGCTTGAGTGGACCTCTCTTAAGTGGGTGCAGAGGAGAGACACCTCATTCAGGCATTTTCTGAACTGCCACCACGTCATGTATCGAAACATTCGTCCCACTGGAGGTCCAAGCCGATCTGCTCATTTTGAATGTTTTCACAAGGGTGATGGGCATTGATGGCGACTCCTAAGAGCAAAGGCTAGGAACATATGGCAGCAGGATAGGCTGATATCAAAAGCCCCGACAAGGAGTCAAACAATTTAATACACAATTAAATTATACTAGAATACTTTATAGTGGTGTAATTTTAAATTGCATCATCAACTCGCAAAATTCCTGGCAACCTGCAAAATTCCAACCTGCAAAATCCCTAACCTGCAAAATTCCAACCTGCAAAATTCGCAACCTGCAAAATTCCAACCTGCAACCTGCAACCTGCGTTTTGTACCTGCCGCTGTTTACACTTGCAATTTTCACTGCGATTTCTACAACGATTTTTTGAAATCTCCAATGTACACATCCTGCGATTTTGACTGCAACTTTGGTGCGACAACACTGCAATTTGCAGCGATTTTTCCATTTTACTGGCTTGTAAACTGAGTTAAATTTTCAATACTTCACTCAAGTTTACAAGCAATGGAAAGATTTTGTTCTAATTAGGTTGTTTACGGCTGTTTTCTGACAAGTGATTGGCTGTAGAAAAAAATTCCCCGACTGTTCGTCGCCTGTTAGTGACGTTGGTGATTTTAATACGAGTTATGTCATGCAAAATGGATCTGAAACTTTCTGTATTGAACTACCACTCGCTCACAAATTAATTAACTGCATTTATAATTCTATTGTAGATTTATACCTGTGCAATATTGCTTTTAAAAACAGCGTGAAAGTGAAGAATTGTACATGTAAATATTTAATAGCACTATAATTCAAATAGCCGCCCTGATAGCCACGCGTTGCATGTTGGTAAAATGACTTTCAACCAACATGCTTTGCGGCTCTAGCAAGATTGAGATTTTAAGTAGCTGTACGATTTTAGTTTGCTGTCTTGCTCGCTCGCTTAAAGGCCCTGTTACACGGTGCAATTTTTCATGCAACTTGTCTCGCAATGGCGTTGCGAGACAAGTTGCACGAGTCATTGCACCGTTTAACATGCCTTGCAATGGTCAAAATCGTTGCGAGACAAGTTGCATGAAGCATTGCAGAGAGTAGAAGTCGGTTCTACTTTTAGCAACGATTGCACTAATTATTTTTAGCATTGCAGCGTGTAACATGGCTTCGTGCAACTTGTCTTGCAATATTTAATGCTTGGAGAGTTCCTATTGGCTCTCCCCAGTACACGCTTTACTTTAATTAAAATTTGGCGCCAAATAGCGCCTCTCCCTATTCTCTTCGCATGCCTCTGTCCCGTATCGTTGCGAGTTGCATGAATATCATTGCAGCGTGTAACACCTCTTGCAATGCATTATCAAAATCTTTTTTTTAAACATTGCGAGACAAGTTGCATGAAAAATTGCACCGTGTAACAGGGCCTTAATGCTCGCTCGCTGCGGCAGCAAATATACAAATACTGTATAAATATACAATAGACCTTTCCCCTTTTAAGTGAAATTTTGATCTAGACTAGCCTTCCATCACAGCTTGAAAGAGCATCGCAAAATTAGTAATATTCCGAAGTTTCGTTGCGAAATGTTGTAAAATGCGGATAATATAGCCTTGCGAAGTTTGCCGTTTTTCAGTTATTTTGTATTACAAAGGGGAATTAATTGATAATCAGTTTGGTCATCTGATTATCAATTTCCCGTTTGTAATGCATTTGACTGGAAAACGGCAAACTTTGCAAGGCTATATCATCCGCATTTTACAACATTTTGCAACAAAACTTTGGAATATTACTAATTTTGCGATGCTCTTTCAAACTGTGATGAAATTTTTGTCCAGACTTGTCTTGATCAAAATCTCACTTAAAAGAGGAAAGGTCTATTACATTAACAAAACTAAATTTACGTGAACAAATACAACTATCAAGAACAACAAGAGAGTGGAGTAGCAAGACTACGAGCAGCGTTACATTTCAAGCAGCCTAGTCCCTAGGCCTCTTAGTTCGCCTATTGCGCGTTTCTGCATATTATTGAGGTGACGGATGACGTCACGGAAATCAAAAGCGTGCACAGAGGACTTGGGACTAGTCTGCATTTCAAGCGGATTGATTTCCAACTGGTCCGGGGATTTTCAGATTCATATAGTAGTATATTGATAGCAGTAGTGTAATATCTGTAAAATAAATATTTAAATGTAGACAAGGAAAGAGACTGTTGTTTAATTAAGGTGGTCTTCCACCCAAATTTTCCAATATGCGTTATTTTTTAGAAAAACGTAAAAATGTAGTCTTTATAGCGTTCTTTATAAAATCCGTGCAATTTTAAGAACGAAAATGTACCGTAAACCAGAGAAATCCAGCAAATTCTACACCTTCGTAGGGTAAAACCACGATTTTACCCGGACCTTCGTAGGGTAAAACCACGATTTTACCCGGAGCGATAAAGATATGCGATTGGTTTAGTCTAGTGTTCCATTTTCAATTATATTGTTCTATCTAAGTTATTCTAAAATATGCAAAAACTTTAAAATCGCTTTTCTCACATGAGCATTTTGCGAAATACTAAAAACTCTCCTACTGTTCATACTGAATCAATTCGTTCGAAATTTTCAGAGTTCATTTGCTTGTTACATAGCCATGTCATGGACCTAAAAAACTTCATATATCAGCAATATATACATTGCAAGAGTAGCCTTATAAGAACTCCTTTCTTCATATAATTTTAAAAAAGTAAAATATGAAGGCCTTATTATATTATTTGTATATTTTTTTAGGTTCACGACATAGATCGATATATTAAGTGTCCATTAAAGCTGTTTCTAAAATCCTCGGTGAATTAGTTTGGCTCACATCATTTTTGGAGCAAACCCTATATTTTACCCTATAGCGAGGCCTATCTTAGTTACTATGGCAACGACGAATGTAAAAGTTACTGATCCTGCGTCAGCTGAGGATATTCCATCATATTTGACTCAAATATGATGATAAAACCTTTAAATTGAATAAAATGTTTTTAGGGTGGAAGACCCCCTTAAGTTCATTAGGAAGAGTGTTCCATATTCTTGTTGTTCTGTTGATGAAAGAGGTCTGATAGGTTACAGTCCTGCATTTCTTAGTAAGGAATTGGAGTGCGTGTTGCTCTCGTTTTCCTTTCATCGCCATCATTTCTAATTTGATTTATGATTTATTTAAAAAATTAAATAATTAACAACTTAGACCAGTCGTTTGAAAATGTAAGCATAGCAAAATTCAGTTATTTAAATTCATTGTATAGATTCACGGACGACGGAATAAAATTAAGGGTCTCTAAAATGATTAACTACCGTAAGTTACCGTATATGCACTGTAGTCACTGTATTTAACAAAGGAATTTCTTTATGGAATTTTCTTGATGACAAAATTAAAAATACCAAAACATATTTTTCTTTTCAGAGAAAAGCAAAATCCATTTACTTATTATCTAATTAATGTAAATAAATTATAAAAACCTTAGCATTAGGAACACTAATGATAGTAATGTACTATTTTATTTCTTAGTATTTTTTCATCGTTCAATTTGTTGTAAACAGTTTCTGCTTGTATATACAATTTCTTCTTTCGTAGTCTTTAATCATTAGAATACTAAAACTAGGGGCCTTACTATAAAAGTCCAATAGGTTTTCCAAAGGTCCCTAGCCCATTATTCTACAGTAATTATTTTTTACTACTTATATTATAAATATCTATCTATTAGTTCTACATTTAAATGGAACAAGTTATTTGTAATTTGGAAACATGTAAACTTATTGTGTATGGCCAGTGTTAGCTATAGTAACGAAGTAAATTTACTTCGTTACTTTACTTAAGTAAAAAAATCAGTATTTACTTGTAACGAAGTATTTTTTTAATGAAGTATTTTTACTTGTAACGAAGTACGATTTTTGGTAAATATTTACTTTTTTACTTTGTTACTTTTGTTACATTTTGGCGAAGTAAAAAAGTATTTCTCAAAGTGGTGAGTGGACTGGAGTATATATATATGGAGGTATTTGAAGAATAAAGTTGTTTTACCACGTTACTTACATGTCTGAGTGTTCTATTCCTGCTTAAACCTTTGCGAATTTATATTCTATTCAGTAGTACTTTTACTTAAGTACATTTTCCCAATACTTTTCTTTACTTAAGTAAAATTTTCAGGCAGACTCTTACTTAAGTAAAAATTTCAGGCAATATTTTTACTTTTACTTAAGTAAAATTTTCAATCAGTACTTTTACTTCTACTTAAGTGAAAATTGAGGTGTAACTTTTCACTTTTACTTAAGTAAATATTTTGAGTACTTTGCTGAACACTGTGTATGATTGGGACTGTTCATGGATCAGATAGTAGACTAGACAGATTGATGATTTTGAAAGCTCTGTAACTGTATTCTTTCGATAATTAATTGGGGATGTTGTAATGTGAAACAGTTTGGCTACATGCAGTACTCAAAGATTGGGCTTATGGCTTATTAATTTTTAATTTAACAACTTTAATTTGGCATATAAAAAACTGAATATTTACATAACTTAAACAGACAATTACATTGTTCAAGAAGACGAGGAAAGTGCCAAAAGTGGCAAAACACAAACGAGACTATGTCCCATGCAAGGTGCTCACCACTAGACAACAAACAAAGACAAGAAACAAAGACAAGGAAGATTAAATGAAAATACTAAGATAATGAATAGGCAGAAAAAATGAAAAGACAAAGAGAAAAATGTTAGATATTTTTATTGAATCGTGATAAGTGAGTGTGAACTAGGTAAGTCAGGAGTGTAGGAAGTACTAGTGAGGTGGATGTAAGTCTTGCGCAAGTATGACTTAAAAGAGGAGACACTGACATAACAATACGAAGGAGCAGACGTACAAATATAGTTCCACAGTTTAACAATTCTACAGTCGTGCCAATAGAAGTGTTCCGAAAAATGTTGACCAGTTCATTTCCTAACTTGAAGGAACACCTCTGAACGGTTCCTCAACAATTTGATAAGTTCCTTAGAAAGTTCCTAACTTCCTGTTTCATTGACCAATCAAATTTTATATTTTTGAGCAATCGGATTGGTCAATGAAACAGGAAGTTAGGAACTTTTTAAGGAACTTATCAAATTGTTGAGGAATTGTTCAGAGGAACTCCTCGAAGTTAGGAAATGAACTGGTCAACATTTTTCGGAACACTTCTATTGGCACGACTGTAACACAATACGAACTTTGAAATGTACTTGTTTTGCATGCTTGTGTTCTCGGAAGACCAGAAATGGCCGCGCGTGTCCTTGATTTAATTGATTTATTGATTTATTAACTTCAGCCGTCAACAGAAATATACATATGCAAACAGGAAGACGGTTCAGGAACACTAACACAGCGTGAGCCAATTACGTTAGTGACCTGTTACAAAACATCATTATACAAAACTTCACAACTTATAATTTAAATATCAAACAAGAATATAGTATAATCCTTTTTATCCGAAGTAGAGAGACAGCGTAAAAAATTTCAAAATTTGGTAAAACAAAATGACAAAATTGTCAAACAGAATAAATGCGAGAATATATATAGGTTCTGTACCCGTCGATAAGATAAAACGAAAATGGCGAAAAACCCAACTCTACATCGGATAAAATGAGGTATACTACATTGAATAATTGCCAAAATAACTAGTTCAATTAAGAACAACATTTAATTGTTGCAGTAAGCTGCCTGGCTTTATGGCATTTCAGACAAACTGATTTCCACGTCTGCGGATTTTCCTGGTCAAACACGGTTAATGTTGCGGAGTGGTAATAGTTTATAACACGTGATTTAAAGCTCTGCAATGATAGTTCTGGTTTCCGTAGCTCATCTGGTAGGCAGTTCCACACACGCGATACTCGTACAAGATAACTGTTCTGGTGACATAGCGTTCTTACTTTAGGAATGTTATATTTTACAAGAGAGTTATTAGAAGAGCGTAGATTTATGGTTGAAGTCAGAGTGTCAACTTCTTCGGGTAGGATATCAGTTTTAACCAAGCCATATTTGCATTTGAAGAGGAACAGGATATCAAGATATTCGTGCCAGTAACAGAGAGGTAGCATATTCAACGCAGCGAGTCTCGTTTTATATGGCATGTCCGTTTGGAATGGTAAAGACAGTACGAATTTGGTCGCTCTACGTTGTATGCGTTCGAGCTCCATACACATGGTGATAGTCTGTGGACACCACACTTGTGAGGCATAAGCAAGATGGGATCTCACAAGTGTAAGGTAGAGACAGCGTCGGGTATTTACGTTTTTAACTTTGATAGTCGAACGTTTGAGCACACCAAGTAGGCGGTTGGCTTTCGTAACTTGCTCGTAAATATGAGTGTTCCATCTGAGATCTGAACAAACCGTCACTCCGAGGTCTTTCTGGGAGGAAACATGCTGCAAAGTTTTACCGTTGACAATGTATTCAGCAACAAGAGGATGACGTTTTCTCGTAACGCTCAGAACTTTGCATTTTTCGGCGTTGAATTTGAGCCTCCAAAACTCAGCCCATTTCTCCACGTTTCTCGCTTCAGCTTGAAGGACACAGGCGTCAACCGGTGATTCAATAACTGAGATGCATTTTGTGTCGTCGGCAAACAAGGAAACGTCAACAGCGGATGAGGTTATTGATTCGGGAAGGTCGTTTATGTAGATGAGAAACAGGAGTGGTCCGAGTATTGATCCTTGCGGAACGCCGGAGGAAACTGGACGTGTCTCTGAAATCTCACCATTGACTAGTACACGCTGTTGTCGTCCGGATAAATAACTTTTAAACCACGTTAAAATATTGTCCCTAAGTCCAAATCGTTGGAGTTTCTTTAAAAGAAGGCTATGATTCACCGTGTCAAACGCTTTAGCAACATCGAAATACAAGATATCTGTTTGTTTCCCTGAATCCAGGTTTTGGCTGATGCGGTGAAGAACGGAAATGAGCTGACCTGTGCAAGACTTTCCTCTCAGAAAACCATGCTGTGCGACGGATATCATGTTCTCTATATGACCAATCAGACGGTTGTAAACACAACGTTCTAAAACTTTCGCAACAACGCACATGAGGGAAATTGGTCTGTAATTCTCAACAAAACTCTTGATTCCTTTTTTATGAAGCGGGATGATGTTGGACAGTTTCCATTCTGATGGTAGGGAGGCATGCTTTAAGGATTTGTTGAAGAGACATGTTAATGATGGTGTGATGGAGTGCGCACATTCTTTTAGTAAGCGGATTGGTATATTATCTGGACCAGATGCTTTACTAGGATCGAGGCAATGAAGAACGTCATATACTTCACTTGGGTCTAAAATAATGTCAGAAATGGTCTCTTCACCTACAGGTGTAGTGGGGATTGAAATATCATCACCTTCTGTTAGAAATACTGAGTGGAAGTAGTCATTGAACATTTCTGCAGCTTGTTTTTGACTAGTGGAATCTAAGCGTGGGGAGTCTTCGTTGCCTGTCGCGACGGAAACTTGCTGTGGAATACGGCTGGATTTAGTGGTTGTTTTAAAAAATGACCAGAACAGTTTCGGATTGGATGGTAGAGCTTCGCTTAGGGAACCAAAGAACTTTTCCCGACTTTCTTTGATTAATCTCTTAGATGTACGGCGGAGATTCTTGTATTTTTGTACAAGTGCAGCAGAATTTGTTCCGCGACGGATTTTTCGCCGTAGTGTTTCTTTCTTTTTGATCAAAGATTTTATCTCACCGGTCAACCATGGTGGATTGTACCTTCCTTTTACAATCTTTGTTGGAATACATTCGTCAGCTACAGCAAGGAAAGTGTCTCTCCATAAATTCCAGTTCTCGTTAATGTCGGACATCGATGTGGGATCGCTAAATTCAAATTCAATCGGTTCAAAAGTACGGTTCATTTTTTCAAAATCCGCACGGTTGTAATCGTAAACCGATCTTTTGAGCTTGTGGGAAGGTGTTGCTGTACTTTGAAACTCAAAGAGTATGCACTTGTGGTCGGAAAACAAATTGAAATTGGTTGGATCAATTACTTCAATGTTGTTAACGTTGTCTGGAATGTTTGTCATGATAAGATCAAGAACGTTAGTTTCTCTTGTTGGAGCGAAGATCAATTGACTTAAGTAATGGTCAGATAAGGTGTTGTAGAAAAATCTCTCGGATTCACCGGTTGGGATAACCATGCTTTCAGACCACGAGATTCGCGGGAAGTTGAAATCACCAGTCATTATAATTTTATCGTAAGTGTCCATAATGTAATCTAAGAACTTTTTAAAGGAGAGAAGCCATTTTGACGAGGAGTCAGGAGCTTTGTAGCAGCAGACAACAAGGATTCGCGCATTGTTAGTGGCGCATTCAACGCAGACGATTTCTAGTTCAGTATCTAATTGATTAAAGCATACTTGCTTGGTTTCTGTAAAAGAAGACTCTTTTGTAGCTATTAGTACGCCACCGCCAGTTTTACATTTACGGTCGACACGGAAAACGTTATAATCTTGACGTAAAATTTCTGCATCAAAGTGTTTATCGGACAGCCACGTTTCAGTGAGGAAAACGATGTCTATTTGCTCCGAGTATACAAAATCTTGAAGACTTGAATTATTTGATATCATATCTCCATCAGATGTTCTATGTAAACTAAACAAACTTCGCGTATTCCAGCTCAAACAGCGAAATGTCTTACGTTCAGTCGCGATGGTGTTGCTTCGATTATTTACGACGGATGAACCGTGTTCGAGATGCTCAGATGAAATAACTGGACCAGGATTTAATTCCACATCGTTAGCTAAAAGAATTAACAGCAAAGGCAAAGACGATCTCTGTAACAATAACAGACCGTGCACAAAACGATGAACCGAGAGCAAAGTTACATGTCTCTTAACACGACGAAGTCGATAAGAATACGGTGTTCCAAGCATTTTCGTTGAGGCATAGAACAAATTAATCTTGGTTTCTTTCGTATTTTTTATTCCACGTACAACCAACCATAGAAAAACAATAACGTAGATAAATTTTGGGAAAATCATTTCTAATAGGATTAGGAAT